TCTTGATACAGACTCTAAAAATTCCTTACTCAGTCTGCGTTTGGGGGAGAAGACACACATATAAAGGGCACTTCAGGGAGAAGAGGAAGAAGACCTAGCATACTCATATCTACAACAGAAAGTCGAAAAGTGAGTGCTCAGGGTGGGCATGTGATGGTTCAGACCTGACAAAACAGCATAGTGTCCTAGGTCTGTCTGAGGAAGAAGTATCAACAGGCCTGAGAGGCCAGTGGGAGGGGATGCAGGCAGGGGAGCAGGTGGCAGGGCAGCAGGTGGTAGGGCAGCAGGTGGCAGGGGAGCACGTGGTAGTGAAGCAGGTGGCAGGGCTGCAGGTGGTAGTGAAGCAGGTGATAGGGCAGCAGATGGTAGTGGAGCAGGTGGTAGGGCAGCAGGTGGTAGTGGAGCAGGTGGTAGGGCAGCAGGTGGTAGGGGAGCAGGTGGTAGGGCAGCAGGTGGTAGGGGAGCAGGTGATAGGGGAAGAAGCAGTAGGGTAGCAGGTAGCCGGGCTGCAGGTAGTAGGGGAGCAGGTGGCAGGAGAGCAGGTGGTGGGCCAGACCTAGTAGGTGCTCCTTGACTACTCCTGTTGAAGTAAACTATGGCAGCACTTAGGGTACAGGAGAAAATGGACACAGTCTTTGAAAAAATGAAAAAAGAAAAATGAGCCTCCTAGTCTATGGAAACAAATCCCATCCTGCCTGCCATGTGTCAATCACTGAGTTGGTGTTAAATATGAGTCTGAGGTTCAGACTGAGCATGCAGAGGGGCTTGAGATGTAATACTGGCTAATTATAGGTTTAGAGTCACAGTACTTGGAAATCTAAACAAAGAAATGATGGGCAGGGCAGGTAATAGGCCAATGACCAGATTTACTCACGTGTGATACATATAAACTGTCTCTGCATCCGTTGTACTAGGGGACTTCCTGACATGAGGCCCAGCAAGCAGCAACGTAAGGAAGGAAGAATTAATTCTGCTCATGGCCTATGGGCCCGCTCCCTCCCAGCAGGAAGTCACTCATGGAAGTGTGGGTGGGCGTGTTGCGTTCAGGAAGTGGAGGGATAAATGCCAGAGTTCAGCTCGCTTTCCCCTTTTTATTCAGTCTGAGACCCCACTCCATCTCGGTGTCTCCTCGATTATTCCAATCCAGTCGTGTTTGACCACAAATATTAACTATTACGGTATCCCATAAATAGATATAGTTTAAAAATAAAAAAATTAACCAGGAGAAAAACTAATATACTTCAAAGAAATAAACAATATTATCTTCTATGGATCGAAGCAAACAAGTCAAAAGTCTGTACCCTAAGACTGAATGGCATTAAGACTCCTTCCCCGGAGCCTCTATGTAATTTATAATCTAACTTTTCGAGAGTATCTACATGCTGGCAGAATTTCCTTAATTTCCTAGAATTCAATGCTTTCCTTCACAGATGAATTTTCAGAGAATTGCATTAAGTATTGCCAGCATGTAAGACGATGCCCCGCCCCCCCCACACATACATCACTCATGTTGAATATAAACAGTAGACGGGTTGGGGTGTAGGTCAGTCCCAGAACACACACAGCACCTGAAGAGCCTTGGATCCACCCCAGCACCTGTCATAGTAACGTGCTGAGCCAAATACGTACCGATATAAACACAAACCATTAAAGGTTAGGAGGATAGAGAGATGGCTAAACCCGTGAAGGGCTTGCCACACAAACATGAGGACCTGTTTCAGTCTGCGGAATCCATGTAAGAAAGGGAGGTGTGGTAGCCAAGCCTGTAAAGAATGTAAATAGTGCACACTAGGCACACAGAGGCAGGAGGATCACAGGGGCTCACTGGCCAGCCAGCCACACCAACAAACTTCAGGTGTTGCCACGTTGTCTAAACTGATTATCAGCAGTGCTCTTTGTACCCATAGTAACGATTGCAAGGATTACCTGTTTTGGCTTTTCTAATTGGGGTGTGCCATATATAGAGTTATATAGAATTATTGTTCTGACTAATAGCTCCTCAACTACAAGTGAAGTTTAATGTTTTTCTGTGGGATAGCCACTTCTTTTTATGTGAGCTACACATTGTTCTGCAGCTTTCTTTATGGGTTTGAGTCGTCTTTGCAAACTAGCATATATTATAAATATGTCTCTTTACATCTTTAAAAAGTATATTTTTATGTGTATGAGTGCTCACCTTCATATATATGAGTGCCTGGTGCCTGTGGAGGACAGGAGAATCTGTCAAATCCTTTGGGCCTGGAGTTATAGATGGCTGGGAGCTCGTGTGGGTGCTGAGAGCTGAGCCCAGATCCTCTGAGACAGCAAGTGTTCTTAACTGTTGAGCCATCTCTCTAGCACTCTGCAGCTTTTCAATGATGGAAGCCACACTTCATCTCCTCTATTCCCACCGCAGGTTAACTCTCTGATGTCTTCTTTATTTTCAGAACTTGTATTGTGTCTACGTATGTACAAATGTGAAGGTGTTTATAGTATCCATGCCCATATGTGAGTGCACGTGCGTGCACGTGCAGATGGGCATACAGGTAAGGTGTGTTGATATGGACGCCACAGGTCAACACTGAATGTCTTCTCTGATCGCTCTCTACCTTTTTTGGTTTGTTTTTGTTTTCTGTTTTTTGACACAGGTCTCTCACTGAACCTAGGACTCACCATTTGCCAAGCTGACTGGTCAGCAGGCCCTGGGGATCCACCTGTCTCCACTTCCCAGTGCTGAGGTAATAGGCAAGCACTGCCTCATTTGGCTTTGCACATGGGCACTAGGGACAGAACTCAGGTCTTCATGCTTGCACAGTCAGCATCGTACCCTCCCACATCCCTGTGACATATTTTTATAAGAAGAATGAGATCTGATTTTACTTTTCAGAGTTACCCAGTTTTAACTTAACTTCCTTTATTTGGCCTTTCTTCAGTGCTGGAGACTGAACTCAGGGCCTCTTACCTGCTGAACTATAGCCTGACCCTGAGCCACACCCACAGGCCCCAACTTGACTTAAGCCACCTTTACCCTGTACCAAATGTGCTTGTGGATTCTGGCCTTCTGCCAAGGCGCTGCCTGTTTGCTGCGGTTAGTCCTTGCATTGCTCTTCTTCAGAAGTTCCCTGGGATGTTACTAGATCAGGACTTCCCAGCAGAGGCCTGGGAAGTCAGGCAGGACACTCCTGCTGTCCTGTACATTCTATGATTAGCAGCCTCTCTGCCCTCTATCCACTAGGTGGAAGTGTAACTTCCCAGTCAGGACAACCCAAATACCTCAGCCAGGCCTAGTGCTTGTAGGCTGCTCCCAGTTCTACACTGATATGTTAGTTAGTATGCAAATGAATTGATGGAATAATGTAGTCACCCTTATTACATTTAATATGTGGCACTACTGAATTTAGTCTTTACTATATTTAACTTCCTATCCAAACCCACACATGTCCTCTCATTTGTTCACAAGGACAGAGATGTGCTCTTCAAAGGGGTGTTAGATTTCTCTTGATGCATAGGCTCTTACATAACTCGGTTTATTGCTAAGCGGTCCACCTTCCATTCTTTCTTACATGAGATCATTCTTCTAATATTATATTTTTCTAACCAGTCACTGATCAAAGAACTATTAACTTTTTTTCTTTCAGACAAGGCACCATGTAGCCCAGGCTGGCTCTGAGCTCCTGATCCTGCCACACTTTCCAAGAGCCGTTTATTTATTTTTGGTGTTAAGTCTCTGTCTTGCCTAACTAGCCTTGAACTTGTGGACTCAGGAGACACTCTTGTCTGACCATCTGGGACCACATGTGTGTGCTGTCACATGCAGCAAGATATACACTTCTTTGTCAGAGGTGCCTCCTGACCCCCACCCTGCCCAGTGGTCCTTCAAGAGTTTGAATCTAAACCAGAATGGTGGCTAATTCTAACTGTTCCATTTCCCATATCTATCAAGATGACCATGTGGATTTTCATTGGCCTATGATATGCCTGGCAGATTATATAATGATATTATTCATTTGCTCATTTTAAAAAAGGATTTAATTTTATTTTCTATACATGCATGCTTTATCTGCGTGTATGTTTGTGCATCACATGTGTGCAGTCCTGATGACGGTCAGGAGAGAGTGTTGGATCCTGGAGTTACAGACAGTTGTGAGCCACGACCTGGGTGCCGAGAACTGAACCTGGTCCTCTGGAAGAGCAGCAAATGCTTAACTACTGAGCCATCTTCCAAGACCCTCATTCATTCATTCTTAGATGGCACAAATCTACTCAGTTTTGCTGTCTGCTACTGTCCTTTTAAATTTTTTTGGACAGCAACTGATAACATTTTAATGTCTTATTTTGGCATTAATATTGAGAATAAGGCTGGCATTACTTTTTAATTAATCACTTACTTTTAATGGCATCTGTTAAACTTTTGGAACAGAGACTTACTTGGTGAAAATAAGCTTATTTTCATTTGTTGTATTTAATATGAATTCAGTCTTTAAAACAGCTAAGTCATCATACAGAAATATGGGCCCTTCTTACAATCAAACCCACACTCAATCCTCACATTAAAGTTCTTGAAGGAAGAATAATCTTTGGAATGTAATATTTTGTGAAATGGGTCAAAGGTAGAAAGCATAGCACCCATGTACACCATCATGGCCAAGGAAGACCTCAGCTGTTCTTCATCTTGGGCCTTTCCATGATCCACCACCATCATTGCCATTGCCAGGATGACCCCAGAGTTACACCACCTTGCTAAAAGGATCACACACACACACACAGACACACACACACAGACACACAGACATACAGACATGCGCATACACACACACACATGCACACACTGGTGACAAATGGACTCCTGGGTTGACAGGGCAAACCACTGCTTTTCTGTGTTCTGCCTGTCTCCCCAGGATACAGATGCTGCAGGTAAGGACTATGCCCCCAGGTCAGATCCAGGCCAGGGTGATCAGAGGAGGAATCATGAGTCAAAAAGAGCTTCCACAAAACAAGATGGCCACAGAGGTCCCTCCTACCTGTGTTGTTCCTCAGGCGGCTCTCGGTGAGCTCAGAGATGGCTCCGGAGGTTGAGGTTTTCTTCAGTCTCGCCACCCCTGATGAGGCACTTCCAGGTTTGTTGAGCATGTCCTCACTGCTGGCCCTCTTGAGCTAAAGAGAAGTTGGAGAGAGGTGAGAGGAAGACACGGGGAGGAATTCTATGCCCACCAGGGCCAGTAGTTTAGGTAGAATAACAGGGACTGCATGAAGGGAAAAAGCACTTAGTTCAGCCCTGGACAGCATGGAGCAGCTGCTATTGGACAGAGGCAAAGAAGATGCTTATCCTGGACCAGGAAGTCCCACCTTCAGTGACTAAGTCAGGGGGCTGTAACACTGATCAATAACATTTAAGCCTATAAAACCTAGACTAGAACACATGAAGGAGAAAAATCTCAGATGACTCCATCAAATTCCCACCTTTAAGACAGAAACAGGGCCCTGCAGCTTGAGCTCAAGAGTCACCTGGTACAATACAATATAACCAACCCTTCATGTATGTGCTCACGGCATTGAGTCCCAAAGTCTTTTATTATTATTATTATTTATTTTATTTATATGAGTACACTGTAGCTGTCTTCAGACACACCAGAAGAGGGCATCAGATCTCATTACAGATGGTTGTGAGCCACCATGTGGTTGCTGGGAATTGAACTCAGGACCTTTGGAAGAGCAGTCCATGCTCTTAACCGCTGAGCCATCTCTCCAGCCCGAGTCCCAAAGTCTTAACAGTCCAAAAGTTCAAAGTCTTTGTTGAGACTCAGGGCATCTCTCTAGCTGCTGTTCTATGTACATGTTCATGTTTGTACATGAGTGTGCACACGCATGTGGAAGTCAGAGGATAACCACTGTACACCGTGTTTCTGATGAAGGGTCTCACTGGCCTAGGACTTGCCAAGCAGACTAGATTTGGTTTGTTTTGGTTGTCAACTTGACACACTTGGGAAGAGGGACCTTCAATTGGCCTGTGGGCATGTGTGTAGTGTAGCAGGATATTTATTCTGCTACATTGTATTCACAGTAGAGCTCAGTGATTAGGCAGTAGAAGAGAAGGCAGAGCTGGGAGAAGAGAGGAAGGGGAGGGGAGAAAGATAGGAAGGGGAGAAGAAGGAAGAGGCTATCAGCCATGGAGAACCATGGATGGGTCGAAAGCTGTCCTGGGTAACAACTTCTATCAAAAGGTTAGATACTGGGTAACAACTCTAATTGTGTGGGCATCTTGTTGATTGAGCATTTCTAAATATATAAATCCTTTAGATAATCATTAGCTTTAAGAGTCTCATTTCTACCAGGTACTGCAAGAATGGCAGATATTGTTTGGGGTTCAAGCTTTGTGAATACAACATGGTGGATTGGCAGAGCTATCCCCATGATGCTGTCTCGTGGGTGCCAGGGCCTGTGCATCTAGCTAGCCAGAGCCCTGGTCAGAGCCAAGGAGCAGCGGAAACATGGCAGCTACCCAGGAATAAGCTGGATCAGGCACCGTTTTCTAAATATCTCCCCATACAGTGTACGGCAATAGATTGGTCTGTGGGCATGTCTGTGGGACATTTTCTTGATTGCTAATTGATGTAGGAGTGCCCAGGCCACTCTGGGCAGTGCCATTCTTTTAAAAATTTATTTTTATTATATGTGCATTGGTGTTTCACCTGCATGCATATCAGTGTGGGGGTGTCAGACCTTGAAGTTACAAACAGTTGTGAGCTGCCATGTGAGTGCTGGGAATTGAACCCAGGTCCTCTGGAAGAGCAGTCAGTGCTCTTAACTACTGAGACATCTCTCTATCCCCAAGGCAGCAGCATTCTTATGAACATGGCCCTGGGCTTTACAAGGAATCTAGCAGAGCAAAGGCTAGGGAGCAAGCTAGCTTCCTCTACCATCTTCATTTGAGGTCCTGCCTGCTAGATCTAGTTCCTGCTCTGTTTTGACACACAGTCCATGATCAGTGTGGGGACGAGGGCATGGTAGCTTCTGGAGATCAGATGCCTCTCTCCTTTATCTTTATTATTTGGTGGTTCTTCCCTCCTCAGTTAACCCTTTCCAGAAAAGTCTTTACACATGTACCCAGCGGTGTGTCTCATTAATCTCATTAATGTTCTAAGTACTTGAGGTTGTCCTCTCCATGTGCAGGCATGTATATACCTGCACACACACACACACACACACACACACACACACACACACACACACTTAAGTCAATAAATAGTGTAATAATAACTAAAAACTATGCTGTGAGGGTTGAGGAGATGGCTCAGTGGATAAAGAGTGCTTGCCATGTAAACAGGAGGACCAGAGTTCAGATCCCCAGAACCCAGATGAAAGATGGGCAGACATGGAGGTCTGCCTGTATTCCTAGCACTTGGGGAGGCAAAGACAGACAGAACCTCCAAGCCAGTGATTTGGCTCACCAAGCCAGTGAACTCAGGTTTCAGTAGGAGACCTTGCTCTGAGTATAAAAAAAGTGGAAAGAAACTGAGGAAGACTCGAAGTCACCCTTTGGACTCCACAAGCACATATGAACCACACATATAAAGACATACATATACACGCACACATACCACACACATGTTAGTACACATGACAAGAAAGTGTGTATGGAGCTGCTCCATATCAACCAGCAGAGCTTTTAAGGGGAACACTTATTTCCCCTGCACCTACAATGAGGAATTCCAAACGAGAAAGCTTTGCTGCACTGAAGCTTCCCCAAGATGTAGGATGTAATGATTACAAACAAACCCATCATCCCTTAGAAACGATGTGCTCAATCTACTCCTTCCGTCAGTAGTGTAGGAGGCATACATACTTGAAGGGAGCACCAGATTCAGTTACTGCCTCACGTTCTTTCTCTGTTTGAGGCTTTGTTTCCTGTTACCCAGAGGCAGTTCAGCACCCATCTAGGTTTCTGGCTCACTGCAGAAGATCCGACAAAGCTGAGCTCAGGTGTTGCTTTGGTATGTGTAGTAAGTACTCACACTAAGGGTTCACTGGGATTTAAGCTGCTGAGCACCTGAGTTCACAAAGGAAAAGGTTTCAATGCCTTGTAGATTAAAGTAACTAAAAAAATTCCTCTCCATTTAACAGAGATGAAAGAAAACCTAGAAGCTCCAACATCATCAGCTACAACAACAACAACAACAAAACCCCAGTCTCTAGTGGCAGGTAACTATCTGTGGTCCTCAAATGTAAGCAACTATCAACTGTGGTGAGGGTTTATTTAAATGCACACACCTAACTTTGCCTTTCCTTGGACTCAACACCATCTACCAAGTTGCTCAGTCCCCAGATATAAGGCAGACATTTCCAGGGATCATGACAATGTTAAGAGCGTTCTGTCTGTGGAAATCAAATATGATTCACTTTGTGAACTTGTATTGTTTGGAAGCTACATTAAAAAGTAAACTAAAGCAAATTAAAAGTCTATGATGGACTGACAAGATGCCGCAGTGGGTAAAAGTGCTTGCTATACAAGCCTGACCAACCTGAGTTTGGGCCCCAGAGCCATAGTGGCAGGAGAGAACAGACTCCCAGACTGAACTCCACACCTCTATACCTCCCCCACAATGATAATAACACTAAATGTTTAAAAGCTGTACTCCTCCCAGGATATACAGCATGTGATGGCACACACCTTTAATCACAGCACTTGGGAGGCAGAAGCAGGCAGATCTCTATGAGTTTGAGGCCAGCCTGGTCTATATAGTGAGTTTCAGTACAGTGAGACCCTGTTCAAAGGAAGGAAAGAAGGAAGGAAGGAAGGAAGGAAGGAAGGAAGGAAGAGTGTAAGAGAGAGAGGGAAGGGAGAGGGCAGGGAAGAGAGGGAGGGAGGAAGGGAGAAAGAGAAGAAGGCAGGGGATAAAAGAAGGGAGAGATGAATTTATGGATAGGACAGGCAGACAGATAGACAGACACACAGACAGAGACTTTATGGATGATGGTTATGTTAGTGAAGTGCCTGTGGCACAAGCATGAGGACCAGCATCCACATAAAAATGCAGCAACAACCCAGGGAGAACAGAGACAGGTAGATACCTAGAGCCCATTGACCAGCCAACCTAGCCAACTGGTGAACTCCTGGTTTAGTAAGACTGTCTCAAAATATAGGTAGATAGCAATCAAATAAGATCCCTGATGTTGACCTCTGGCCTCCACACACACATGCATGCACACCCATATACACACCCAAATGAATGAACACACACACACAAGGAATTTATTTTTAAGTGAATCTATCAAAATGTTATCAATACATGATCAATATAAAATGCTCATAGTCATTTAATGAAGAGCTATCCCTAAGAAATACATAGGCAATTCTTTTGTGAAATAAACATCATAGAGTGTATGTCCACAAACCACTATGCCATAAGCTATATGGTAAATATAGAGAGTATATGGATAATATACATATCTATGTGTGTGTATATGGATATTCTTTCTGGGGTCATGATGAATAAACAACACAAGATTAAAACAAGAGAAAGGACATATTCAGGAGACCATGCAATAGCACCCATGAAAGAGACTACCAAAGCCTCATGGTGATTTCACAGCACACTTCTTTCTTCATAAGCAGGTATCCTCCAGAATAGTTATCAAACACATAGCAAATACATAAGCCAGAAACATAGCTGGTTATCAGCATCTGAAACATTATCATAGTGAATAGAGTGTTGGATTGTCATTCCCTCATATGATTGGCAAAGCAACCACACAAACATGTTACCGCACACACATGCGCAGTGCACTCTGCTCTGACACTACAATAGCTATGCCACTAGGCTACAGAAATTCTACAGCCCCGCTATAATCTTATGGAGCCATCTCACGTGTCCATCCTTGGCTGAAATCTCATCTCATAGCTCACATGTATATTAGTGAGCTCTCTTGCAATTTTTGGTACTAACTCTTTAAACCTGATTTAAGATCATATCTCCATGTTGATTGGCCACATTCTAAGGGCCCCATTGCCAAAGGTGGCTAGTAGCAACCATATTGAGAGCATCCTTTAGGAACTGTCAGAGAACACTGCTTGAGTTTCCAGACTCAGACAATGGACCCCTGATGGAAAGCTGTACTCCTCCCAGGATATACTTTTACATTTTACAGGATATGCT